CTCAAGATTAGTATGAGCAAGTTCCCATTTATATATGCTCATGAAAACTCCACAGGCTGCATGTAATAGTCATGGTTAGAGTAGCCTAGGAAGTTTCCATCAAAACAAAATTTCTGTGAAAAACAGGAAAAAAATATTGAACTTTTGTTTTCTGCTCAACTTTGTTATTTATTATTACTGTTATTATTTTTGACCATTATGTTTTCAAAGTGCCTTACAAACATTAACTCATTCATTCAGGAGCTTCCTCTTAAAAAGTATCTCCCTCTGTTGAACAAGCATTAAAACAGAGGAACTTCTGTGTGTGCATCTCTTTACCTATTGTTATGTTGACTTATTTATATAGTGGCAAGTGTGTGAGAGATGAGCTTTACAGACATGTATGAAGACAAAGTCCTGGGAGGAAGTGATTTTTCTGTACTATGCTGGCTGTTGCTGGATCCTACAAAGTCTTGGCTTAAAGTTTTCAAAATCATTGCTTTAAAGGTGAGAAAAAGCATGTCAAGCAAATTAATGCTGACATTTAAAATGTTTAATTCAGCTAAATGTTAAATTCCGTACAAAATGTTTTTCATTTCTATGACCTGGTCCATGTGCAGGATTTTCAGAGGTGAAAAGGTAATGGGGACCAATGATTTATTTTTTAGTGTTTAACAAAACACCAAAAGCATCATACAGTTTTCTTTAATTTTATACAGCAATGTGTTGCCTATATTTGAAGGATCTATGTTTAAATTATTGCACTTGATATCTACATATAGCACATTATAAATTATATGAAGGGAGGGTGTGAGAAGAAAAAATATACATTAAAAATAGACGTTCTTTTAGGTTTTATCCCCCAAAATAAGTTTGTGTGGTGTCAGAAATCAAAGGAATCTCAAGACAAATTTTAAGGGCTCCCCAAATTCTATAAATCAAGGAGGTATTTGGAGAGAATCTCCTCCTTAGCAGATGACAGAATTAGGAAGGTTACTCTTAATCTATTCTGCATTTATAAGGATGATGTAGTAAATATTAGAACATAATCTGAAATGCAAACTGCTATTAATCCACTAAACAAATTTACCAGCTAGTGTCCAAACAAATGGTTTAAAAAATAGAAGGTAAGAAGAAAGTACCTTAGTTTAGCCACTAGAGGTCTCTTTATGTCTGTGTTTATTCTCTCAACTGGTAAAGACATGCCTGCGAAGGCCAGTTCTCCAGACATTTTAGATTAAAAAATATTGATTCATGTCTTACTCCTCTCCCCACAAAAATTCTTGAAGCATTATGTTGGTATAGGCCTTTTAATACTAAAGCTTTACATTAAAACCTTCTGTAGTAGAACAAATCTTGATGGAATAAAGAAGGAAGTGACTAAGCATTCTTCCTGTCTCACATAGAGGAAGGTGTTTTTGCTGGAAGAGATATTCTGCTGAATTAATGTACAATACTTATTGTACAAAGTACAACAACAATATGATACTGAGACTGACTGAGCAGCCAAACATAAATAATCCTGCACTCTGAAGTGATCAAATAGGTGTCCCTTGTTCGCTACACCATCAGAATAGTGGATTTTAATCTGCTATACTAGCTCTGAAGGTTCAGAGAAGTGAAAACACCCATCATGCCTTTCATTGCACAGGGTTTTCAGTATGGAGTTGTGGGTGGATATGTGCATGAATTCCTTCATGCTTTCACTACTCCTATCTAAGGACAAAGTCTGTCCTCAGACATGCATGTGTAGCTGAAATCAGTGGAAATTGGTCTTAAAAAGCTGAGAGCCTGAACCAAAGCCCATTTAAATCAATGTGAATTTTCCATTTACTTAATGGGACTTCAGATCAGGCCCTGAGAGCAGAAATTTGCTCTGCTCTGTATGTTAAGATGCAGATATTGTTAGTTACAATTATCAGGTCATTTAAAAAATCTAAATACAGCCTTTGGATTGCAGGAGCACTTCTGTCCCAACAAACCCAGCAATATGGCTTTGCTTGCTTGGTCACCCAGCCGGTGGTCTGTAATTTTTAGGTCCTTGCAGTTCTTCAGGGATTGACTGGAAAGGAAAGCCCCTTTCAGTCCAGTATATGGAGCCACCACAAGAATAGAAAAGAATCAGCAATGCTAAGTAAGACTCTTACATTTGGATTGGTTGTGCCCATTTAAGGACTGACTAGTCCACAAACGTTCTGAGTTTCCAACCTGTTGTTCAGAGTCCCCATAGCACTGAAAGATTCACAGCCTTGGCTGTGTCACTCCTTCCTGTAAAAACTAAAAGGTAACAAGAATCCTATGTGGGACGGACTGTTATTTGCTATAAATTTGTCCAGTGACTAGCACAGTGGCGCATCAAGCTTTATGCCTCTAGGCAATACTGTACAAATATTAAATAATCCTTACAATCCACTATACTTCTATGAAGAATAAAGATGTGATGCTACAGCACCTTCATCAGTGGAGTTCAAGTATGTTACAACATTAAGTCTCACAGTTCCCCCGTGAGTTAGGCCTATATTATCTGCATTTTATAGAGAGGCAAAGTGATTTGCTCAAGAACCAATAGAAAGTCACTGGCAGAGAGAGTTACAGAAACTGGGAATCCTATCTGCTAGTCACCTGTTCTAACCACCAGACAATACTGCCTCACAACACAAACTACTCAATAGACAATCTTGCCTATGGAGAAAAACAGGTACATTTCTGTAAGTATGCTTACCTGGTCTGGATTTCAGTCCCTTGCTCTGTAAGCATTTTCCTGAACAACAAATGGTGTTAAAGGCCTTTGCTGGATTAATGCAAGCATATCAACAACAATAAGAAAACACTGTATTAGGAGATAGAGGAAAACAAGATTTCCTGTAAGTGTGCTGGTTAGTTGCCTAAAAAGCACTTAGTACTAAATTATATATAAAAAAAAGAGTAAATTCTCATCCTTTTCACTGACTAATTCAGCTGTGAGTCCATCAACCTAGTGCTGCAGAATTTACAGAAGGGAAGGGGAGGAAGGAAGTCTTTTCTAGGTCAACTCCATTTTTGATGGCTGATTGTATTAGGTAGGAGGAGAATCATTTGTAAACGTGCCTTATTACTGTGTATTTTTTTCCAAAAGCCTAGACTTGAGAACTGTCTCATTTTTGTGGGCTGGAGCCTGCAGCCTTTGGGCAATAGGAAATGCAGTCAATTTTGAGACCATTACTCAGCCTTTGTTCAGTGACTCGTAAAACCCACATCACTTCAGTTTCCTCTTTCATGTTAGATCATGTGTCTCTTTTTCCAGTTCATTCATCTTGCTTCACTGTCTGATTTTTCTGGTAACAGGCATTGCATTACCTTTCCATCTTGTATCTTTCTCATTCTCTCAGATGGTTTTCTTGCTTTCCATGCCCCCCTCCTTTTTTTTTTTTTTGTCCTGTGAGGTGAAATTTAAATTTGTTGGTTGCAGGATAGAGATTTATTAAGAGTGGATCAGTTTTGTATTTTCTTTGAACAGGAGTCAGTTTGGATTTGTGGAGGAGGGGAATTAATTGCAAACATTTTAATGCATATATTTTCAGCCAAAATGAGACTGGAAACTACTGCATATGACAGCATTCTCGCTCTCTATTCATTTAACCTAGATGCCAAACCTCAGCAGCTAAAACTAGATTCCGAGGGAGAGACCCTGTAATCGCTCCAGCAGAATTTTCTTTTTCCCAGGCCTTATGCAATACATCAGTAATTAAATGCATCCAGCACATCTCAGCCAATGCTACTCTGATTGCATAACAAACATGCAAATAAATTGCACAGCTTGGCCAATCTGAGCACCTAACAGTTGCCCTCCTCCCCACTCCAATAGAGTTGCATGTTCAAGATTGGCAACAAAATGCATCAGTACCTATCAGTGTGTGCATGTGTGTGTGCCCTATACATTTCATTTAAACCTTTTGCATTAAAAATAGCATTCTATTCAGTACCTAGCAGTGGGTGCTATCTTAAATATATAACCAGCATACATTTCCACTGCTTATTAAATACAAGACAGAGCTGGACCATTAGTACCCACCATCTCCTCTGCCCATTGTAGCTTGTGTAGTTTCAGGTCTGATACATTGTATTTAAATCTTTTTGTATTAAAATGCAGCCAACACATCTTCTTGGACATCCGTCTAATTAGCTATTTATACTGCACTGAAAACAATAGTATCAGAGCACCTCATGTTCCCAGACCTATGAATTAAATGTGAATTCCTTCAATTTGCAAAGTATTTAATTCCAATTGGATTAAATGTGTTAGCATATCTCACTGTTTGCATGTCATGAGACCATGTGCATTTCATTTAAATCATCTTTATATCTGAGGCATTTCTATAATGCCCATTACTGTAGCATGGAAATACTCCTGTAGAATCATGCTTTGATGCACAGATTAACCACGCATCCGCCAGCTCCGTGTCTCTGTGTTGTCAGACCTTGAGTATTGCATCTACAATCATTTAATCAAATATGTATTCAGCACCTTGCAGTGTTTGCATGCTCCAAGATCCAGTGAATTCCACTTAAATCCCTGTATCTAACATATAGGGCATTTAGAACCCTATTAATAGGTCTTCAGTGAAAACCATAGGCATCCAATATATCTCAAGATTTGTATGTTCCGAAGACACAGAAAGATTTAAATGCAATGCCTGGTTAGGCATTTTAAGAGTATGCACACATCGTGGTATTAAAAATGCTGGTTAAACATGTCCAGCATCCTCTGTGCATGTTTCCCGGCCTTGTGCAGTGTATCTAAAGCTTAGTGCATTACAATTGCATCCAAATCCCTCTGAGACCGTGTATGGTCGTAGGCTTTGTGCAGTATATCTAGATCCCTGACTCCGGCATGCCTGGCCTTCCACCCCCCTTGCATTAAACGTGCCCCAGCCGCGGCTCCCTCGAGGCCCGCGACCGTTCAGGACTACAGTCCCCAGCATGCTTCGCGCCTGGCGCAGAGCCGGCAGCCAATGAGGGCGCGTCTCTTTTGGCGGTGGCTGCCGCGGCCTGTGGAGCCGAGTTTTGTGTGCGTGGGGAGGAGGGGGAGGGAGCGGGAGAGTGAGCGGGGCCGGCCCGAGACCGGGACACAGAGAGACCCAGCGCCCCCCTCCCCCGCCGCCAGCGGCCGCCCTCGCCGCCCCCCCCCCTAGCGCCTCTCTCTGGTCTCCCCGCGGCGCTGCGGCTCCCCCACTGCCCGGGGCACGGGCGGCTCCTGGAGCGGAGCCCGTGGAACTGGGACCCGGTGGCGCGGAAATCGAGGCCGGGGATCCAGCGCGGCCTGCTGCGGGGTCCTGTTTCTCCCCCCGCTCCGAGCCCGGCCCGGCTCCTGCTCTTTGTGTCTCTGCTGGGCTCGGTCGGACACGGCGGGGGGAGTTAGAATGGAACAGACTGACGGTGAGCGGGGGCGGGGGGCTGTGGGGCAGCGACGGGCTGCGGGGGGATGAGGGGTGGGGGTTAGGAAAGTATGGGGGTGAGGGGGTGGGGTTTAGGGGACATGGGATGGGGGTGCCAGGGTCTAGGGGACTAGTGGTACAGAGGGCTGGAAGGTAAGGTGGACTGGGGTAGTATTTCTACATGGTGAATAATGGGTTGGGGGATCTGGGACGTGTGTGAGAAGCGCCGGGGTTGGGGTTATTGCATGGGGTTTCGGGTGGTTCTTGAGTATGGGAAATGGGAATGATGAATGAGTCTTTAGAGACATACGCTGATTTGTAGTGGGGAAGGGGCTGGTGTTTTTTGGGGGGGAGGTATGGGAAATGGTGAGAGGGAACCTATTGTTTCTCTGTAGAATATGTCTGTATTCCATGCATTAGGACTGGAAGCTGGTTATTGCAGTGATATTCTCTTCTTGTTGGAGAGGGAGGTTGTCTTTATGTTGTGTTGGTGGGAAGTAGGGGCAATAAAGAGAGACATATGGAGATAATTTGATGTTTTGGTGGTGGTAGAGATAGAGGAGGTCCGCTTGGATTTAAAGGGGCAGAGGCAGCCATGTTTGCTGCTAGACACTGCAGTGTAAATAAATTCCCCCTCCAAAACCTGCTTTGGATCCCCTTCCTGGTGGCTCAGCCCCCCCATTCCTGGCTTTATACTCTCTTCCTTATCTTCTCTTCTTATCTCTCTGAAATCTACCCTAGCCAGCAAAGTGGGGAAAGCGACATTTTCCTTCCCTCCTCCTCCCGATTGCAAACAGGACATGCCGGGGGACTGCGGTGCAGAAATTAACCCTTTTCAACTCAAATCTGCAGAGAGATTATACTGCCTGACATTTCTTCTAATGTTCTAGAAGAATTAAAAACAGAAATATGTGGAAAGTTGCATTTATTTTATAAACTGCAGATGTAACTGAAATATCTTTTGCAGTTTCTTGAAATAAACAAGGAAATTGCATTGGCCATTTTATTTGATCTAGGGTTGTTGGTAGAAGGCATTGTGGAATGCATTTAAAGGTATTTGATACTGTATCCATTGACTACATTTTAAATCTAGCAAATAGGGAGTATTTTTTTTGCTGTAAATGTGAAAAATGTGGATTGCAGGAGTGTGTTCTTAGACAAATAACTAGGCCTCCCCTTTTTTATCCACTTAAAATGTAGATACTTGCTTTTATGTATAGCAGACAAATCATTAGGTTATCCAGATTTGAGCCCAGGGAACAAATGAGTGTGAAGCAGGCATGTTTTGTATTTGTAATCTTATCAAAGCACCAAATATGAGTAAAGAGACTTTAGGTCACTGTGCTGTAATTAGGGGCTCTATCACAGTAATCTTAATTTAAGTAATCTTATTTTTATCCTTTTAAAAAAATTGTAGGTTGAACCACATACTTGCCAATTTAGTTTAGACAGCAAGAGATCTTTACAAGGAGTTTTCAGGTACTGCACATTAGTAAATAGCTAGCCATTTTATGTAGGATTTATGGATATCTTTTAAAGTAACACATTACAGCGTACCTCTTCTCATTCTGTAACTGGCTGTGGATTCAGTGTAACATCAATCTCTTTTCTGGTGTTTTTCTCAACGCGTTTGACTGTTGCAGTTTTAGGATCTTAAATTATGTCGGTTAGAATTTTATTATTGTTAGATTTTGAGTGAATAATTCCAGGGGACTAAAACTCTCACACCTTGCATGTTGGACCAAACAATGACATAGTAAGTGATATAACTTCCTAGTCATTGTTTACATCTTCAAATGGCTCATAATGCAGATGTGCAATAAATGTTTCAATAATTAAATGTGGGTGTCTTTTGGACCGCTTCAAAAGGTGATATTGGCTCCAAAGGAGAACAGACACCGAATGAAAATATGGACTGAGAGGAGGGGTTGTGCATCTAAATGACAAGGTGCTTTTCATTAATATAATATGGAATAATTTTGCACTCCTTTGTATGTTGAGTTACTTTTGAGCTCTGCTGCAGTGTGTGCTTTTAAAGTTCAAAGCAGTACTTTGTATAGTTTGTATGCATTAATGTTATCCAAGCATTGCCAACTCTTGCAGACTTACTGTGAGTCATATGATATCTGGTGTTTTATTAAAGCCCTAGCTCCTGGATTCATGTGATTATGTAAAAATCCCACTTTAAAAAAAATCAAAGCCAAGAATTTTGCTCTTGTGGTTTCAGAGAAAAGCTTGAAAACGTGACCTAATGGACCCCTAAAGTCTCCAAAACTAGAGAGCAAATAAAGAGCATTCCAAATTTATTTTTTTAAACTAATCTCTTGATTTTTAAATCACTATCTTGATTTGTGGTGCCTCGCTCATGAGTTTTGAATGCTTGAGATTTTCAATATTGTTATCCTAGAGATTATTTTCTGTAACAGTGGGAAACATCTTCCCCCTCGACAAAACAAAAAAAACAAACCTCAGCAGCCCATGAAAAGGTGCACAGGGAGGATAATCAAACTCACTAGGTATGTTAAAAGGATGAAAAGGAATCAAGTCACTAAGGCCCCATCCTACATCAGCTCCTTTCTATCAGAGACCCTTGCATTTGTGCATAGTTCCACTGCAGTCTGTGGGAGTCCTCACAGGAACAGAGGTCTGCTAGTGTATCCCAGTGCAGGATTGAAGACTGTTTTATCATTTCATTTATCAAGTGCATCTTTGTTCTGTTTTTATTACTTCGTTTACAATGACTAGTTTTGCTGTGAGCCAAAATGACTTGTTTTATATTATTTTAAAAGGATGTTTTATTATGTACACTAGCTTTATTCTTCCTTTCAAAATGTTAAAATTGCATTGAAAATTTGTTTGAAGTTAAATGAATTATTTTTTAGATAAAATTCAGTACATACATATGGTATTGATGCTTCTGTGAAAACTGTCAGTGTTTTTCTGACATGAAAATTGTAGACTATAGAGGTATGTCAGGAACTAGTTGAAAAAAATTGTCTGTTGGAATTTAGTATTGTTTTATGGAGTTGAGGCTATCTGCAGTTCAGATACAAACACCATAATTAATTTTTGTTACTGGATTCAGTATTCATTTTTAAAACACTCAGCTTTATGTTGTCCTGTTCTGGACATCCTAGCAGACTTTGTATAAAAATTAATGATTATTTACATAAATTATTACACTGGCCAGTTACTGTGGAATTGTTTTACGTTCATACCGGTGTGGCACACCTAAGAGTCTCTTCACACCTATAAAAAGTGCCTGCAGTATAAATACAAAATCTGCTCTGCAATGGTCAGAAGTTTCTTTGAAGTTCAAGGATTATTGCATTAATTTCCTATTCACGATACCAAAGTAGTTAGTTGTACATAGTTACTGTTGTTTGGATGCTTTAAGATTTCTCTGTGTTGCAACAAATTGGCAAAATAGCCTGCCACAGCAATGCAATCTCTTTGTTTATAAAACACATACAACAAACAAACAAGAGTTGAAATTGGCAGCTTCATGGGTTAAGCTTTTTGATATGACCAGGACTGCATAAATAAAGTGTTGTCATATGTAAGGAAAAAACAGATTGCTCCATGTTTTAGAAACAAATATGCACAAAAGATAAAAGTAAGTAATGAAGTCTTTGTGCATAACTTGAAAGCTTTTTCAGGGTTTAGAAAATAAACAGAACCTTGAATCTCTGTGGGTTAGTGAAAACAACAAGGAGTCCTGTGGCACCTTAAAGACTAACAGATTTATTTGGGCATAAGCTTTTGTGGGTAAAAAAACTCACTTCTTCAGATGTGGGTTAGTGCTGCAACTCCTGCTTGTGTTAATGGGGCCTGCTTAGCTAATGTGCTACCATTATTTTGAGGCTATATCCCAGAACTTTGGTTTTCCAGGCAATTGCTATAATTGGAAAGTCCAGCCCAGCCTTGCCAAGCAGTGGCTGGCTCTGTTCACTAAACTCACGTTTAACTATAATTAATGTAAAAATTTGATTTCAATTAGTTTCTCGTTTCTCTCTTTACCTTTACTGATGAGCCAATAATAAAGTATCAGTTCTTAAAGTAGTTTCTTTACATCTCTGTGGAATGCCCTACAGCCAACAATGTGTGAACCTTCACAAACTGTATAACATACAATTTTAGATAGTCCCACAGTAGTACGTTGCAACAGTAGACAGTAAAAATTAACAGTCAATCGAATGTATTATGGAAATTAATTTAAAACTTTTTGCTGCTAACACCTTCAACAAAAATGGTAGTATTCTCAACTCAGGCACTGCATGGTGATAAAGTGTCAGGTGCAAATTAATGGGCTCATGCTTCATTCTCAGTCAGGAGCTCCTCTGACTGGTCATTATTGCCAGGGAAATGCACTGAGTTTCAGTCACTCTTGTTAACATGCTGAATTTGTATTTGAACAAATATTAAGTGTAACATTTTTTTTGTGAATGTTGTGTTGGCTTCTGCAGTTTCCCTGTGGATAGGTAAACCCAATTTACTTATAATACCTGTAGCTGTTGAATTCTGGTTTCAGCATATCATGTTGATTGGTCCTTTCTGCTCAGATTTTGGGGACTTTACTCTGTACTCCTGTGATATGGTAAGTGTGTGATGGTGAGGGAAAGAGGAGGGGCACTATTGACATTGGGAGATCTCATCTAGAAAATGAGATCTTGTCTTCCCTAATGCTGCTGAACCTTTCCTGGCTGCTTGATAACTGCAGTCTTCCTAGGTCATACTTGAAGAGCTGTGAATGCTTGTTTGTATTTGTATATTTTTTTAATAAATATTCTGTTGGCACAATTTCATTTTTGGCTGTCTTATCTCAGCAGGATGCTGGAGTAATATGGGTTGCAGGGGAATGTTGTTTCTCCTCCCCCCCCCCCCAAAAGCTAGTTTCAATAGAAAATTTGAACATTTAAAGCTACATGTTGTCTTATATTGTTAATTTTCAGCCCTTTGACCACTAGGTCACCTATTCTAATTCATCCTATATCAGTAGTGTTCAAAAGTGAAAGCTTGAGTATAACAATAAAAAGTGTCTACACTTCAGGGAAGCTGTATTTTACGGTCATCTATCAAAGATATCGTTAATGGATTTTTAGTATAGTGGAAGGTAAGAATAGAAGGTAACTTTGTGGTGGTGCTCAGATGCAGTGATTGTCATCTTCATATATGTTTGTAATAAATAATGCTGCTCTTTCTCAAGATATTTCAAAGCATGTTAGAATGTAATAAGGTACCCTTACTAACCTGGTCAATTCCCAGGTGAACATTCTTTTGAGACTAGCTAATATCCATGGTTTTAATGAGGCTACGTGGGATATTAGTAAATTATATAGCCCAAGCCTGACGTTCTCAAAGAAGCCACAAAGGCTCCCCTTTTTGCAAAAAGTCTTTCAGTAATTATCAAAGACAGGAAATTGGATCAGCAACATCCACTACTGAGTCTAGTGACATCTCTGTGGAGATCTTAGAGATACAATAATTATGTAGCTTATTATACTGCATCTCACTAGTATCTGAGCACCAAACAGGTATGTCGTAGTCTGAGACTTGTGATTTAGGTCCTAAAAATACCTTAGATAAATGTAATAGTGATTCAGTTAGAAACGCTTTCTTCCCAAAAGATTCCAAAGCACTTTATAAACTTATCTATGTATGAATCACTTCACCCATTGCTGAAATTGCAGCCACTTCTTGCTGCCACAATAATTCTATATAAGAGTTTAGGGTAGGAAGTTAAGCATATTTGCCATTAAATTAGGGTAACATTTCTCATGAGATCTAGCCTAATCCACTTTAGATTATACTGTTTTCCTAGTACATAGTTTTCATTTTCCAAAGGGGAAAAACTCATTTTGTTTAAATACTGTTCCTATTTGGACATTATTGTAGTTTGAAAATTTTGTCTCTAGTTTCAGCGTCACTGACAAGTTCTGTTTACGTTGCCTTAGGCCCCAGAAAGGTAGTGCAGGGCTTTCCTTAGGTCCCAGAAAGGTAGTGCAGGGCTTTCCTTAGGCCCCAGAAAGGTAGTGCAGGGAAAAGACAGTGCAGAATATAGTACATAATTCTGGAGAACAATCTTCCCCTCTCCCTCCTCCCCCCCATAGGCAATGAAAAACTATAAACTATTCCTGTTGCAGTTTTGCAGATGTCACGATCTTTGTTCAAACTATTTTTTTTCAATAGCGCCAAAAAGTCTTTCCTGTTAAGAATTCTTAAATAATTTAGCTACATTCTTCTTGATCCTTTGGCTGAGATCCAGTGTAGTATCAGTTTACTGTTTATTACATCCTTTATCTGGATATTGAATCCTGTGCTTGCAGGAGGTGGACTCTAAGTTAATACAACAGCAGCAGTTGGAGATCCAAGAGACCTATCTTGCATAAAATAAATACTTATAAGCTTCACTCAGACTGCTGAACATCCTCACTTCCAGCTCTTTTAGAGATTGTTCTTCTATTTGGGTGAGTTACGTCCAACCTCCTTTTTAGCCTTTCAGTGCCACTTCTGTGGCAGCCAGAGGGCTGCTGAGGAGAAATACAGTACTCTTTGCATCAGGGATGGAATCTAATCTCTCAAGAGTAATCCTATTTTAGGGTTAAGATTTGAGATGGAGTCCTCCATTTATGGTCTCACATTATTCTAGCATTTGACTAGCCCCAGGGGTGGTTATTTCAGTGTAATATAATCCAGATGCTACTTTATATTACTATATTCATTTTGAAAGCACCCACTAAAGTTTTGCAAAGGAGAGGGGATAGGAAAGTGTGTGGGTATTAACTATAGTGATGATGAATTCAAGGACTCTGGAGGAGGGAGCTACTGATGTGTAAGCTCTGTGGGAGGAGAAGAGCTGTTGGGCATAGAAGACCATTGCGTGTAGTCTTTCTGTTACGCAAAAGTCCCTACTTCTGCACTCTGTACTGGAAGGTAAGACACCAGATGAACAAGTTGTCCCAAATAGCCAGAGTGCATAATAAAATCAAGGTCTATTTCATGTAGATGAACCCACAAAAAGGGATTATTTGAGAGCTTTTGAAAAACTTAAGACTTCTACCAGTAGCTTCTAAATTAGCAGATGTAATTGCAGGTTAATGTATCCAAACAAAAAAAACCCAATACTCCACATCCTGTTATGCTGTCTTTAAAAAACACTTTTTCTTTGAAATTTAATTATTGTGAAATCTGCTCTGTTGGCTGCTCTGGGGACTGAATCCTGTTTAACCATGGAGCTGATACAGTAGTAAATCAAGTAGCAAGGTTTCCCCTGCCAAAGTGTATGAGCTCTGACTTGGAGGGGCCACGTGTGAGGATTCAGTGTCCATTGTCCATGCTGTTCTTGGATTCTGCTGAGAGTGGTAACAGGAATCTAATTAATGCCAACTGTTCACTAAATGATTTCATTTAAATCACTAAAAGCCATCAGTTTGTAATTTTCAAAATATGCTGATACTTGTATAGGCTGGATTAAAATTGGTGACCTCATGATCAAAGAGACTGTTGTGCAATCTAAATGTACCATTGGCCTAATGAGATGAGTTTAATCAGCTGGACATGATCTGAATGGCATAATCTTGCAGTGTTCCCATAGATTAAATATTAGTTGTTTTTTCTGCTTTGTAGTAGAAAGATTATACTACTAAAATACTATGCAGAATATAGATGCCTTTAAATCCCAATTTCTAAACGTCAAATGTTCTTGTAAGAGAGAGATGAAAAATTGCCTGCCTCATGTTTTTTATTCATACAAGTATGTCGCAGTCTGTAGTGTAAACCTCTCTCCAGTGTTTTACATCCCTATTTCTGCTCTGATTTCCTAGCATTGAAAGTTAGTATAATGCTTTTTAAGGGAGAAAAGACCTTTTATTCATGTTAATGTAGTTCTTATTGACTCCTGAACCAAGTGAGTTGACTGGTTGTGAATTATGTATAGTTATTTACTGATATGTCTTATACACGTGTCAAGCTGATGCTGTAGCTTAATTTTACTGAGATCCTTAGGTAGGATTAAAATGTGGCCAAAATGTCAGAGTGAGGCTTAAAATTCCTATTGGATGCTCCAGAGCAGGTATTTTCTTAGATCACTGTCTAGAGAATACTATGGCTAGCCAATCATGTAATTTATAAGACATGTCATCAAAGAGAGATTTCAATCTCTATTCCTGACCGAAGTCTTCATCCAAAAATTCTTGGTCTTTATTACTATTAGAGGTAATTGAAGAAAAGTCTTTAAAAAGCCCGTTGCTTCACTAGAGGAAAATTAAGGGATGAACAGAAGCAAGGTAATTTTCTAAATATAAATCACCTTTAATGTGGTCATTGCTGATTTAAAGAGTAGAGATAATATTCTTTGAGGGCTATAAATCAAAATGGGGTAGTATTAGCTGGATAAGCTTTCTTTGTTTTGGTAACAGTGGTATACACTTTGCTTCTTCCCTTGCAGTGTGAGTCACTTGCTTGTTACAGAAATTGTTCAATATGGTGAAGAAAATGAGTAGCTGGCCTCCTTGCTTGACTGTAAAACATAAGATTTGGTAGCTGTTGGGATGGAGTCAACATTGCATGGCTGAACTTTTCTTCTTTGGCATAGAAACTTAAAAGAATATTTTGCACCTTTATGCCTTCAATCTAAGGATCTCAAAACACTTTATGAACATCAGTGAATTACTGCAAGTCTCGCAGCACCCACTTTACAGATGGAGAAACTGAGGAACAGAGGTTAAATGATTTGCCCAATGTCAGTGAAGCCTTTAAAGAGCAGTTGGTGCCGCATAGAAAAATGTGGTAAGCATTTTTGTACATTTCCATTGTGGTAAAGCCTAAGGACCCAATCAGGGCCGAAGGTACCATTGTTCTAGGCACTGTACAAACAAATAAATTATTTCGAAATGAGTCTGGATGAGAAAGCTGATGAACTTCAAACAGATATTCTGTGTTAAAGTTAATCGGCTTTTTCCTCACCCAAAGTTACACAGCTGTTGGAATATAATAATTTCCACAGAAACCACTTGTGATGTTACAGAAGGGGAATCTAGGGACACACAGATACCTATTAGCTGGTGCATTTACATTTTTAGGGCAAAATCTACAGGGTGATGCTCCATCTCTGGAGGATGATAGGTTCATGGTTGCTAAAGATTTGTTACTGAATTTAATTATATCATCAGCCACTCTTAAACCAGTTTCAGAGGTCCACACAAGGAGACTGCGCAATTTAGAAATAGGTTTAGTTAAATCAGTGCAATTTCTTTTGTGGCCTAGGTCTTAAATGCCTCTACCACGATTAGCAATCTCTGCCTAGGATTAAATGAGCATGGCCTGCCAGCCTGACTCCTTTAGCAGTAAAAATCAAAAAGAAAACTAAGCATATTTTAATTTAGCTATTCTCAAATTTTTTCATAGTGTACATCACATTTGAATACAGTGTTTTATGGATTAGTTTTCCTTCCTAATCAATCATGTAATATCTGTGTGATACTTTTCCATGTAAGCAATTGCTGAAGTTAATATTAATAAAGTATTTAACGTATTATTAGTTGACTTTTAATTCCATTTAGCTCTTGGAAATGAGGAGCCAGCATCTGCTTTAGTTGCTTGCTGCCGCTAGACCACACTAAGGCTATGGCTGGCTACACTATGCAGCTTTTAGTGACATGGCTGTGCCTCTGCAGCTGGGCCGTGTAGCTGCTGTTTGTCGGCAGGAGAGAGCTCTCCTGCTGACAAAAAACTTCCACCCCCCATGAGTGGCAGCGGCTTACCTGCTGACAAAGCGCTGTTCACACCGGCGCTTTTCGTCTATAAACTTTTGTTGTTTGTGTGTGTGTGTTTTTAACATCCATGAAGGACAAAAGTTTTGCCGACGAAGTGCCAGTGTAGACATACCGTAAGAGGAAGTTGGTGAATCAGTGTCAGGTAAGGAAAAATGTTAATGAGTATGTTTTTAGCAGGTATTTAATCTTTCTAGAACCCTAACTGGAAGCTACCCCAGAAGGTAATTTTTGTGAAAGTGGGTGTGAACATAGGCATGAAAGTGAGTGTGGTTTTAGATGTGTTAGGGACACAGGAATTACCACAGGTCCCAGCTAGTCAAGGAAAATAGAAATTCCTTAGTGGATGATTAAAGACCTGCCCATAAAGGAAGTGTCTTCCTAATCCTCATCAGTTAGTGATTGGCTCAAGCTTTGAACAAAAAGGGTGTATCATCTCTTATCTGTTGTAACTGCAACCCTTGTCAACTAAGATTATGCATGTGTACAAACGTCACAGGATAAACTAGCAACTCTCTCCCCTCACCGCTAGAACATCTTCATAAACCCCAGTATAGGAACATTTGACTTAACTTTCCATAAGAATGTTAACCGAATTTGTATAGTGAACAGTTTCATAGATTCATAGACCTGTATAACACAGGCCATAGAAGTTCTCCCAGTTATTCCAGCATCACACCTATAATTTCTGGTTGAGCTAGAGCAGCATCTCCAAACTGTGCGTCGTGACCCTCAGCTTGTGAGACGTGCGTGATGCACAGTGATAGATGGCTGTGCGCACCACCCCTGCAGGCCCCTGCTGCCTTGACATGCTGCATAGTGAGAGGCAGTTGAGTCATCAGCATGCTCATTTTTACTCCTGAGGGAATTCTGCACTAAAAAATGAAATATTCCGCACACAATATTTTAAAATTCTGCAAAATTCTGCATATTTGTCAAAATAACACAATATAATCACATTTTCAATTATTTGCTGACAAGTATTTTGAAATAAATTACCAAAATAATTGAAAATGGTGTGATTATATTGTTGTTGTGTTTCTGTGTTATTTTGACAATTAAAATAGGCAGAATTTTTAATTTTTCACTGCAGAATTCCCTCAAGAGTATTAGGGTTCTGTGTGGCGCAATCTAGGTGTGCAGGGTCTGGGTGCGGGACGGAGGGGGGGATCTGGGTGCACAGCGGTGCGGGGCGGGGTTCTGGGTGCAGGGGGAATGGGACTCTGCAAGGGGGGGTGAGGTGATTGTAGTTAGAGCTCAGTGTTGAGGGGAAGTTGGGTTTGGTGGGGTGGAGGGTCAGGGTGCAGCTGTTTGGGACTCAGTGGTGTGGGGTTCTGGGCCCTGATTCGGATGGAGCTTGGTGGGGCGGTCTTCCAGGTGTGCAGATGGAGGGAGGGGTCACTGTACATGGAGCTGCTCCCCCTGTCCTCCCAACCCCTGTGCATCCAGACCCACCCTGCACCAACCCTCCCCCCACACCTGGAAAAACAAAACAAAAACCCCACACACGGTGCAGTTTCCTGCAGCCAGGGGGATGTTTCTGGAGCTTGATCTGACCCAGACCCAGCTGCTCCATGCAGGGAAGAGGGAGGGGGAACTCTGTCTCTGTCCTCCTCTGCGCTTCTCTCCTCCCCCCCACGTGATTTACCTCTTCCCCTGGCTGCCTGAAGTGATGCATCTGAGCTGTTGGGAGGGGTGAGTGAGTGCTGGTGCAGCTTCTCTTTGCTTCCCCACATAAACCATTTTCTGCAAGGAAGTCAGGGCTGGCTCCAGGCACCAGCAGAGGAAGCAAGTGCCTGGGACGGCACATGCTCAGGGGCGGCATTCTGTCCATTCTTGGGGTGGCACAGTCCGACCGTTTTGTTGCTTGAGGCGGCCAGAATGGTAGAGCTGGCCCTGAAGGAAGTAAAGAGATTCTGTGAGGGGGATTTTTCTGCTGCGCTGCAGTTGCGCACAGTTTCCCCAGGAATATCATGCTGCAGCACATGCAGCACAATGAGGTGGTGGCGGCTGGCAGGAATGGGACTTGCAGTCGCCATGCTGACCCCATGGGCAAGAGGTGGGGGAGCTGACCTGACCCTGAGGGGGTTGAATTGTCTTGAGACCTGAGCCAAACAAGACACTTGTAGTTGGATCCCATGAGGCTTTGGCTAATATCACCATGAAGTAAAACTGAGCATGGGAAAAGTCAATATAATCTGTGAATGTGGAGTTGACTAGTACGTTTTTGCTATGTAAGTGAAGAAGTTACGTTTTCTTGTAGTTGCTTTGTTGTTACATCTCTACTAGTTCCTGAGGAGGAAGGTTTTTTTTTTTTTTTTTTTTAAGTCTGACATGGAAAATATTGAATAAGATATCTGGATATGTTGCTTTGGTAGGATGAGAATGAAACTCAGGCAAGGAAATGGGCAGATCCTAATTGTGAAGTGTATGTCATGGGATCTTTAATGTAACTACAGACCAGAAAAAAATCTTGTATGAAAGAGCATTTAGGACCTCCATCCTCACAACACAAAAATGCACATATTGTGATACTCCATTTATTTATCTTGAAAGGACTAAAATGACCTTACTGGGTAGCAAGCCAATATTTCAAACATGAGGTGTAACCCATTAAGCCATTCCCTCCAACTAAGCATTAAAATGGTTTAAATTTAAAGTTCTTTTCTTAAATAGGTAAGAAGGCTAATTTGTGAGCATGTAATATTTCATTGAACTTTTTTCCCTCTGTGTTTGAAGTGGCTATATAACTGTCTCAAGTCTTATGAGATACAATAAAAATTTCCAGGACCTCAGATACTGTGGAGGTAAAGGTAGCGTTATTACTACCATATGACAGACCTGGGCAGGTCGATGTAGATACTCCTAAGGAAGCTCTTTGGTTTTCTCACCAGGAGGAGTGGAATAATTAGCATCTATTTGCTATAATTGTGCTACTGTGTATTTAAAAAAAGCCAACAGCCAGGGCCTGGTAACTTCCAAGGCATGTATCAGTACTCCTCTGTTTTCCCAGGCTTTGCTGGGGAGAGGGAAAGTTTGAATAAGGTTTTTAAGGAGAAGGAAGAGAAGAAACTTACATTGGTGGATTTGGGAGGTCTTTCTATGACCCTTCCTGCCTGTTGAATTTATAACACTGCTCTACAGCCAAAATGCTTCTGAAATAAATGTAGTCAAACTTTACTAATTCTGGGTCATTGAGAAC